AGAATTTATTTTATTTATTTTATAGGATAAATACATAAATAAATAGAATAAATGATTTAAAGAAATAGCATAAAAGAATAATTTAATGCTTCTTCTTTAAATTTACCATTGACTAATTTTTCATTTTTTTAATAATGGTACATTTAAACGTAAATGTTACATTATGGCCTATAAGGAGTTAATTTCATTGGATCTCCTAGTAGGCTGTCCAAGTTAGAATAAATGTATGTGAATACATATGCACACATAACAGATTATATTCGCATGAAATTTATTCTACAATTTTTTTAACAATAAATTATATGTATACATGTATGCATGCATATATTTATGCACAGAGTGCGGAATTTTATAATACAATTTAATATATATGTAGCCACAGCATTTCTGGTATAACAAAGTGGTTTGAGAAAAGTACATAGTGCATATTTCAGAGCTTGCTTGAATTCTGAAAAATGAATGGCCCACTCTGTATACATATACATATGTATGTGCATACGTACAAACATATTATAGATTTTGTATTATACTACACATACATAATACACATACAGGTGTAAGCATTTAAAGCAAGTCATCCAAATAACTTCAGTGCTTATAAAAATAGGAAAAACTGTTTCAAATATAGAATAATATAATAGAGACAGATAATTTACAGTGAGTCAGAAAAATATTTATGTCCCCTTAATTGTTAACTTTAAATGATTGATATTTTTTTGGAACACAAGTTTTAAAATTTGTATCGATGGAAATATGCCGTATTTATTAAGTTTTCGAATGGTATAAATTTTACTGCAAAATAATTCAGTGTAACAAAACTATAAATTTAAGTAAATTATCACAGAATTAACGTCATAAAAGTGTTCGTACTGTAGGAATTCTGTACATATAAAATCGAAATATTTATAAATCTAGTCTGTCTTGTCTATCAGTCTTGTTCGATGTAGTACACATTATATTAGTATGGAGGAACAGTTAGTATTGAGAATGAGTAAGTTAATGAAGTTTTCATAGTAGAAAGAAAATTGTATACATATAAGTGGCACAATGAAGGAAAGTACTATTCACACTTTAGTGAATTGTGAATTTAGTAAGTAAAAGTAAGTTGACGGTACAATAGATGGTAACTTAAATGGATCCGTAATTAATAAACAACGCAAAGGAACTGCCAGGAAGCTAATAACTGCTTGTGATGAAAAAGTAGTTGTTAAAAAAATAAAAAAGGATGTAACTATAAGTAGTACAAGTTGATAGCATTTGTTGCAAAATGTTTGAATAAACAAGTGAGTGCGGAAAGCTGTCGACGAATTTTAAGAAGACAAGGTTCTAATGGTAGAGTACCCCGGAAGAAGCCGTTTATCAGTAAAAGGAATCGTACAGAGAGCGTTTAGAATTTGCTGAAACATATGCCGATAAAAACTCCTGGGATTAAAAATGGTCTACTTAAATTATTGTTTTCGTTACACTGAATTGTTATTTTGCAATAAAGTTCATATCACTCGAAAACTTAGTTAATATGGTCAAGCTATCGGTAAAGATTTTAAAACTTGTATTCTAAAATATATGAATTATTTGAAATCAATAATTGAGGGGGTACAAATACTTTTGTGACTCACTCACTGTATGTCTTTATTTGTACATTTTTATACTCATACTACTTGAAAATATGCTGAAATAAACACAGCTATTCATTTTAGAATATTAGTAACAAGGATGCAATGAATGCATGTATTACACCACTTTAAGTCAAGTTATAGCAAATCACTTTGATGTTTTAATTGACTGCACTATTTGAATATTATGTAAAGTTTATTATATGATTAAATAAGTTGAAATATACAGATATTCTGTTACATACTATGTAAATCTGTGAATATGGTATTTTATCACAATATCTTGATATTTCTTCACACAAATATTTATGAATAGAGTCACACAATTATGTAGTGTTAATCTCCACATTAAACAACTTTTATAATTAAGTATACCTCCTTGCTTTAAAAACTTTGACATTTTGGTGGTCTGTTTTAAGTGCCTCACCTGTATGATACAAGTTTCATAATTTTCTACTTCATAATACATTGCATAAATATTTACAGATACAGTATGATCTTTTGATTAATAGAGCAAAATAATTTTGTAATATATTTCAGTTTAATTATAAATGAAGTAAGTTTCAACAACGTTTATTGTAATTTGTTGTTAGTTAACATTAGGGTGCTGCAAAATTAATGCGATTTGTATATTGTTAATTTTACAATTATATATTTCAGTGAAAGATAATGCTTTAGTCAGTACATCTTACAGGAATACATTAACATCTTTCATAGGAATAAGTACATTATTTGTCACGCTTAATAGTAAATATTAGCAATTTTTACAGAGAAAGAACTCATTAAAAATTACAAGCAATACAGTTTCTATCTTATATTCATAAAATAAATTATAGGGATAAATAAATTAAATGCAATGAATTACTTCTATGAAAACTAAAATGAGTTTTTTGCTAATGATGCTATTTTTAACTTGAATGTAGTATTTTATACATGATAACACGTTAGTAAAAATTAGTAAAATATTTAATTAAAATATTATAGATATTTTTTTCATATAATATGCAACAATAACAACATAAAATGCGCGCATTTAAAGGAATTTTGGTATATAAATATACACCATAATATCAATATTAATGTTTTTTTAAACGTAATTTGTACTACTATTTAATTTTATACAGGTTTTGGAAGAAAAACAAGTAAAATAAAACCCTCTACGTACTATAAAGTACAAATTAAAAATGTGCTTCAATTTTAATATAAAAGCAATTTTGTCATGTAAATTAGAGTTTTATTTAATGTTGTTAATTTTAAGTAATTAAAATATCTCAATTAAGTGGACACATTTTAACAAAAGTATGAAACTTTTAAAATTTGTCCTGTAATGAAATTTGATATTAATATTAAATTTAGAAGTTCTTTTGATGTAGGAAATAATTAAAATAATTACTAATATTGTGCATTAATTTCACATCATCCTAATAACAACTGGAAGTTTCATTTTTAAGCAAATTCATGCTTCTTATATACATACATTGTATTTCATAGGATCAAATGATTATTAGAAATAAATACATTACAACAAGAAACAGTTGGATAAATATATAACTGTACAAATTAATAACTGATTTTCTTTTTGTATCATTGTTATACTGATTACAATATATAATACGATTAATTAACGAGGGAAAATTGTCTAGTAATTTTAAGCCATTGTTATTTATACACGCACGCGTATAATTGCTTATGTATTTCATGCATTAACAAAATGTGACTTTTATTATTAGATATCCGTTTTTATTTTTTGAGAATACTCCAGAATCTGTGAATGAGTTATATTTATATGTCGAGGTCCTTATTCGTTAATTTCCGTTTTATCTATCCGCAAAGACAGGGTGGATTTGTATGTGAATGTTAATATTAATTTTCATTTCTCGGATGTTTCGAAAAACTTCAAAGAAATAGTTAACATTTATTTTTGACATTCGTTTATTTTATTTCATTTCCTTTAATCACATCAAGTTTTTCTAACTTATAAACACACCAGTTACCAAACTATTAAAGAGTATTACCTTGTGTGATGTTAGTTTACTGTGATGTCAAATTATTGTAATATTTGAAAGCCAACTGTTCGAAATATTTTAATTCGTATAACATATACCAATAGTTTAAAATTTAGAGTCTAAATTTGATTGTTCGATGTTTTACAGGAAAATTTTTGGAATGCTTGAAATTCTCTCGAGGCTTATTCACTTAAACACACTGAATAATTAGTAGAATTTTTTTTAGCTATATAACACAAAGTACTTCTATATAACTTCAAAACATCTTTAACAACTTCTCGATGTTTGGTGTTCTACAAAAATCCACCCCGTGCAAAAATTGTTCCACAAATCATTTAACGCTCATACGTGTACCATTTTATATTTCGGTGACTACCACTTTGTTGGACTCGTACCAGTTGTACCAACGTTTGCTCCAACGAAGGGATTTGTCGAGGCAGCTGTTACGAACAAATAAATTGTATAGTAATTAAGCAACAATTAAAAAGAGTAGAGTAGTAATTATTAGTATAATTATCACTAAACCTACCACGACCGGTCAAATAATCGTTTTTAAAATTTCATTTAGAATCTCCTACATACAACGTTGTCGCACCGCCATTTAAAACTTCACGACTTTTCTTATAGCATACGTACATACACTACCGGCCAAAAGTTTGGAATCCCCTGCCACTTTTCATCAATATTAAATCTGCTGCTAATTTTTTATAGATTTGAAGTTTATCTCAATTTTACTTTTATCAATTTGTCTCATATCATCTGATTCGAACTATAAAAAATTCTCAAAGTCGCTCGACTTTTTTCTGGAAATTTTTGTGCAAATTGCAATGCTCGGTGATTCCAAACTTTTGGCCGGTAGTGTATACGTTCTGAGAAAAATACGTAGTCTCCCTTTTACCTACCACGGCCGGTCATTTGACCGTTTGAGCGATTTATATTTTTTTGCAATAGTATTCTCTCGAAGACTCAATTCTGAAACTATGAAGTCGTTAGGACGGCATTTTTTCTGATTATTGATCATAATATAATCGAACATATAAGAAAATGCACGGAAACAGAGACATTCCGAGAGCTGGGAATTAAATGGGATCTAACTACTGCAAAATTATATGCATTTATTGCATTCCTGTATGCACGCGGCGCATACCAGACTAAAAGTGTTGATATATCATATCTATGGAACGAAAAATGGGGTCTAGCATTTTTCTCAAAAACTATGAACAGAAATAACTTTTTACAGAAATTATGAGGTTTATTCGGTTTGATAATAGAAATCAACGAAGCCCAGCTTTTGCAAACTGATAAATTCGCTTTGATTTCTAAAGTTTGGTGCAGGTTCATTGAGAACAGTCAAAATTGTTATAAACCGGACATATTTGGCATTAAACTCTGGTTAGCTTGCGATGTAAATAGCAAATATTATATAATAGTAAACGGCTTTTCATACTTGGGGAAAGATGAAAGGAGAGAACCTTCAATTCCGCTGAAATTAGTAGAATCGTATACAGGCTGTGGAAGAAATGCAACCACGGATAATAATTCTTTTACAAGCGTGTCATTAGCGACTAAACTTTTAGCAAAAAAAAGTACGGTTGTTGAAACTATTCGCGAAAATAGAAGGGAACTACTAAAATTGGGGAGACAGACAAAGGACAATATGACACGTTTCTCAACAAACTTCTACCAATCAAATAATTGTACTTTGACAGTTTACAAAACTAAACCAAATAAAAAGGTACTTGTACTCAGTTCAATGCATACATTCGTAGAAATTGAAAAAAATGATCCCCGTATACCGGAGACAATTAGATTATACAATAGCACCAAATTCGGTGCAGATGTGACCACTGACCTAACAGCCAGAAAGTACACTGTAAAATCCAAATCTCGGAGATGGCCTCCACAGGTAGTTTTTCAATATTTTATATAAAGAAACCACGGGAGAAGGAATTTCGAGGCAAGAATTTTTATTTCAATCAGGAGAAGAAGAACTTGCCACCGAATATCAAAAGGAGCAACGCACTAGGCAAAGAAGATCTAGCAAAGACAGTCATATGTAAATGTAAGTACAGGTTCATTTGAACGGAAAACTTGCCAGATAGGATATTGCCAAGACAATGAGACTAACAAAATCTGTCTAAAATGTGAAAAATACGTATGTGGAAAATGTGCAATCGAGAAGCCTGTGATTTGTAAAAAATGCGGTGAGAAAGAATAAAATATACATTACTTATTTCTTTTATTTAGAAATATTTATATTTTTTTCACAATCAAATTGGCTATTATCTTCATTCGATATTAGGAAATATAAGTTGTTTTAAAGACCGGTCAGGTAGGTTTAGTGTTATGTGAAAATTAATTATCCACTAATAGTTCAAAATGATGTATTTTATAAATACACTACCGGCCAAAAGTTTGGAATCACCGAGCATTGCAATTTGCACAAAAATTTACAGAAAAAAGTCAGCGACTTTAAGAATTTTTTATTGTTCGAATCAATTGATATGAGATAAATTTATAAATGTAGAATTGAGATAAACTTCGAATCTATAAAAAATTAGCAGCAGATTTAATATTGATGAAAAGTGGGAGGTGATTCCAAACTTTTGGCCGGTAGTGTACGTTTCACTGCCGAATACTTAACCTGACTTATGTTCCGCTTTTCGATAACAGTTCTATAACGTACGATACGATACAATTTATCTTGTTGCATATTTTATAGCACAAAATGTATTGTATATTATTTAAATATGTATATAAACGAGAAAGTGATCGTTGTATAATACATATTCGTAAACTGTGCATTTGTATTCTACATATTTTTTAATTAATGCAAAGTATAATAAAAAAGGAAACAAACAATTCTAAACTCATACCGTATATTAATAAACATAGGATAAAACATTTTTGAGCTAACATTGTTATAACACCGACATAATTACAATACTTTTGGTATTATATTTCACTACCCTGATTAAGATAATTAATAAAACTGCAAATAGGTGGTTACAGATTGGGAAAGCATTAGTTTGTGTATTTAAAAGGAGAAAAGCTTGAGTTTTGCAGTTATTTGATGGTAATGATTATGTAATACTATAATACTACATACAAGTGTAATACTATAGCGTCAGAATGCATAAAAGTAATCGAAGTATTGTAATATAATCATGCAACTTGAGAAAATAATTCGTTATTATAAAAACGTGATGTACTTATTTTTTTTTAAACAGTATTACCATTATACAGGGTGTCCTGTAACTCCTCGAACACCCGGAAATGGGGGGTTGCTGGGGTGACTCTGAACAACTTTTTCCTTTACCAAAATGTTGTTTGAAGCTTCGTTTTTGAATTATTAACGAAAAACACTGGCCAATCAGAGCGCGCGTAAAGCCCGCGCACAGGCACGGGAGCGCTGACTCTCATCCGCGCGCGATCGTGAACAAATGCGTACGCGTGACTTCTCGGTTCTCGATAGCTGTCAAAAAACTTTCACTTTGCACTGCTGTTTTTATAAGGCTTAGAGAAATG